ATGTAATAACCATGTCATTACAGTCCCAGGAGAGGAAAAATCAGTTGGGCTGAAAAAATACTGAAAAAAAATAATGGCTGACAACCTCCCAAATTTGGCCAAAAAAGATCTAGAGACTGAAGTTAAGCAAACTCCAAACAGGGTAAATCTGAAGAGATCAACACTAAAACCCATCATAGCCAAACTTTTCAAAACTACAGTAAAAAATATATCGCAAGCAGTAAGAAAGCAATGACACTTTACATACACAGGACAAATCATTCAAATGACAGTAGATGTCTTATCGAAACCCATGGAAGTTAGCAGAAACTGGTACAGTATCTTCCAACTACTGAAAGCTACTGAAAGGAAAGAACGGCTTCAGAAACCGATACCCAGTGAAAATATCCTTCAGGAATAAAAAGGAAATTAGGGTATGTTAACAATGAAAAAATAAAATCTAAGAGGATCTATCATCAGCAGTCCAATTTATTCTGAAAGAATAAATGAAGTTCTCTGTACTTACAGGGAATGATGAAAAAGGAACCAGGAAACATTAGAAAGGTGAAAAGAATACAGAAAGCAAAACTATGGAAAATACAAGACTTTCTTTTCTTGAGTTTTAAAAATTATGTTTGATGACTAACGCTCAAATAATAACACTGTTTAGTGTGGTTCTAAATGTATGTAGAAGAAATATTTAACATAAATAAAGTATCACTGGGGGAGGCTACGGGATAAAAAGGGAAATAAGTTTTCTGTATTTTACTTTAATGGGTAAAATGACCATAGCAGTGAACTAATAAGTTATTTCTATATAATGAAGTATCAAGAAGATTTAATAAAAAAGCTATATGAAGAAATACACTCAAAATACTACACATAAATGAAATTGAAATTCTAAAAAATGTTCCAATTAACCCATAAGGAAGCAGGAAAAAAATGACAAAAAATTTAAAAACAGAGACAAAAAACAAAGGTCAAGAAAAAATAAAATGATAGTTTAAACCCTAACATCAATAAATACATCTAAAAATACAATAAAAATAACAATGTAAGCAAGTCAAAAGTAAAATAATATAAAGAAAAAGATAACAATGAAAACCTGAATCAAAGGAATGCAGAAGTAGCTATATTAATATCAGATAAAATAAATTCAAAGAAAATCAGGAACAGAGAAGGACATTATATAATGATAAAAAGGTCAATCTACCAAGAAGATATAACAATCCTAAATATATATGCATCAAGCAACAGAGTTATAAAAACATGTTGAGGTAAAAACAGGACAGGAGAAATAAATAAATCTACAACTATGCCTGGTGACTTAGGTACCGAGCTCTCAACAACTGATAGAACAAGCAGATGAAATATCAGCAAAGATGTAAGACTCACGAACACCATCAACCAGCAGGATCTCATTAACATCGCATAACCCTTCACCCAATGACAGAGTACACACTCTTAGCCATAAAACAAGCTCAAGGACACCGAGAGAGTCAGCACTCCCTACCTTAGCGAGGGTCTTGAATCAATCGTGGGAGATTTCACCTCACTAACCTGGGAGAAGGAGAGCAACGTGGAGCCAGAGCAGGCCGAAGCAGGGAAATAATAAAGACAAGAGGAACAATCGGGAAGATTGAAAATAAATAAAAATAATGGAACAAAATCAACGAAACAGATAATCCTCTGAAAGTTCAATTAAATAAACTTCTAGCAAAAAATGCCAAGAAGGCAGATACAAATTACACATACCAGGAATGAAACTATAACTACTGATACTGAAGACATCAAAAGACTAACACGACTGTGAAAAACTCGACACACACAAATTTGACAACTAGACAGAATGGTTCAATTCCTCAAAAAACAAAAATTCCTATAAATCACCAACATGAATTACAAAATTAGCATAGTCCTATTCTATTACGGAACTTAACAATATAACTTTTCTTTTTTTACCAGAAGGCACCTGTGCTCTCTAGAGACAGAGACAGAAAGAGAAAGAGAGAGAGAGAGAGAAAGCATCCCCAGTGGGGCATGGTCATGCCACAATCTTTTTCCTCCATTGCTTCACCCTGCCAGGATTTTGGGCAACCATGCGCACATGCTCAGCATGTTTTTCAAGCCTCTGGCATAGGTATTCAAACAGCAGTCAGCCCTGTACAATCCAGCTCCCTCAACCACCAGGCCATGGGGCTGACCCTTGAATTCACTAATTTCAAACTTCCCAAAAAGAAATACCCAGGCCCACATAGTTTCACTAGAAATTCTACGAAATGTCTACAGGAGAATTAACATTAAATTCTAGCAGGAAATGTTAAAAATGGGATATTTTCCAATTCATTTTATGAATCAGGATTATCCTGATACAAACCAAGTAAAGGCAGTATAAAACACAGAAAAACTACAGACCAATCTTCCTCATGAATAAATTCACACAAAGATCCTGAATAAAACATTAGCAAAGAAAATGCAGCAATATTTAAAAAGAATTGGATCCAGCCCTATAGCCTAGTGGTTAAGAAATCTGGATCTCAGGGCCCAGCAGTTAACGTAATGGCTATGTTGCTGGACTCCCCTGTAGTCGAACGCGGTTTGAGTCCCAGATCCGGTGGCTTAAACTCATGCCGGGTGCGTGTGCGTGCGTGCCCAAGATCCCAAGAGGAGAATGGAGGAGAAGGGATTGCGGCATGGCCATCCCCCCGGGGGGTGATTTCTCGCTTTCTGTCTCTCTGTCTCTGTCTGGCGAGCGCATGTGCCCTATAGCAAAAAAAAAAACCAACAAAAAACAAAAAACAAAACAAAACAAAAAACCCTCCATACAAAGGTTAAAAAAAAAAAAAAAAGAAATCTGGATCTCACATGACTTCTGTGGTTCGAATCCCATCCCTGCTTGCTTAAAAGATACACCATGCATGTTGTGTGCATGCCCCAAATCCTTATAGGATCCTGAGAAATGGAGAAGAGACTGCAGTCTGACCATACCCTAGTGGAGCGTGCTTTATTCTTTTCTGTCTTTCTGTTTCTCTCTGGCAATCGAAACAAAACATTAAAATTAAACACCACAACCAAATGAGCATTACTACAGAAATGCATAGTTGATTCAAATTTGAAAGTCAATGTAGGGCCAGCAGGTGGCGTGGTGGTCAAGGTGGCGGACTCCCACATGGTTGACCACCAGGTCTGGTTTGAGTTCCAGACCTGATGGCTTGAAATTCACCCCAGGGGCGTGGTAGTGCCTGCTCAAAATCACAAGACAAGAATGGAGGAGAAGGGATTTTGGCATGGCTATCCACCCATTTTCTGTCAGTCTGTCTCTGTCTTTCCAGCCAGTGCATGTACTCTATAAGCAAAAAAAAAAAAAAAAAAAATCCACCCGTGCCATGTCCACTAAAAAAAAAAAAAAAAAAAAAAAAAAAAAGAGGGGAGGGGCTGGCATGGTGGGTAAGGGTGCTGGACTCTCACATGGCTCACTGCGGTTTGAGTCCAGGACCTAGTGGCTTGCTTGCTCTCTCTCTCTCTCTTTTCCTCTCTGGTCAAATATAAATAAATAAATAAAGCTAAATAAGATCATTTTAAAAAGACCATGTAATTCACTGTAAACAAATTTAAAGCTGAAATAAAAATCACATAATCTTACCAATCGATATAAAAATTATTTGAAAAAAATCCAATACATATTCATGATGAAACATCAGAAAAATAGAAATACGCTGGAACTATAACTCAGCTTGATAAAAACTATCTATAGAAACACTGTTATTATACTTAATGACAGACTGAATATTTCCCCCTAGGACAGGAAACAAGGCAAGGTGCTTTTACCATTTGTATTTCACATAGTGTTAGGAATTCTAGTCTATGAAATAAGGTGAGAAAAGACAAGTAATGGCATTCATATAGAAAAGGAAAACAAAATTCTGTCCCTATTTGCAGGTAACCTGATTATCTGTAGAAAATCCCAAGGAATCTTCAAGCATCATCCTAGATCTACTGAAGTCAAGGTGACTGGTATGAAGGAGTATTGAAAACGCCTCCGTACCCCTGCTTGGCTTCAGTAAACCATCTGCGACCACGTTTTCTTTCTTTCTTGCTAGGTTACAGCCAATCAGAGCAGTCAGGCTTCAGTCAGTCACAGGCCCCGCCTTTGAAACTGTGTTAATACAAACTTTGGAATGAAACCAATCCAAGCTGTTTCTCTACCTCATTTTTCCACTTTCATTTTTGTACACCACTTTTCCTTTCTGGAACTTAAAAATACCAAGCTGACCACAAGGCCACCAGATTTGCCTGGAAGTTGGTTTGGGACAACTGTCCATTTGAACGCTATTAAGATTTGCTCAATTAAAACTCCACTCAATTAAATTGGCTTTTTGTTTGTTTGTTTTAACACTGGATACAAAATAAACACAACTAAATTATATTTCCATAAACAATCAATGAACACCAAAGGACACCAAAATTAAAAAGATACTACCAATTAAAATCATTCAAAAATTTTAAATGCTCAGCTGAAAATCTTAAGAAAGTATAGGATTTTAGGCTGAAAATCACAACGATTTAAAGAAATTAAAATTCTTTTTTTAAAAAATGTATTTATTTAATTCCATTTGTTATTATTTTTTAATTTGACCAGAAAGAGATGGAGAGAGAGAGAGAGAAAGGGAAAGCAAGAAAGTAAGCCGCCAGGTCTGGGACTCAAACCATGGTTGCCCATGTGGGAATCCAGCGCCTCTAATCACTACGCCACTTGCCAGCCCCACGAAATTAAAATCCTAAATAAATAAGACATTGGCATTCATGAATTGGAAGACTTAACATAGTAAAGATGCCAACTCTTTTCAAATTGATATTCAGGTTTCATTCATTCCTGTCAAAATCTCAGCAAGGTATATAATAGACAAGGAAATTATTCTGAAATGTAAAGAGAGTATATGCAAACACAAGAGAAACAAGATCAAGAAAGGAACAATACTACATGGAGTATTACTCGAAGATAAATTTTATTAATCAATTACCTGTGTTCCACCGTCTAGCTGCCTTATGCACCAATATATAAATTTTATAAAAGGTTCATGAAATTTGGCATTCACGAATGGCATCCACTGTAGCTGCTCTGTCATTACCGGTAAAAGCTAAAGGTAAAATGACAGAAAATATAGACACAGTACTTTCAGATGTCAGAAATCAATGGCAACAATTTTCCAAAAATTATCTAAAAAGAAAGAAAGAAGAGTTCACCAAACGAAAAAACTTTCATATTAAACCATATGCGATGCAATTTGGCAATACGCACTTGAAATTTTAAATACATGTTTCCTTTCATCCAGCAATAGCCTATCTAGGAATTTAAGATTATGCTATACAAAGATACTTTCTGAACCTTAAATGGTTAAATTTACATTATATATTCACATGTAACTATTAGAAGTTTTAACCTAGATTTATTTTTATGGCCACAGTAAACTCTAGGGTGAAAAAAGCAGGTTGAAAATGAGCAAACAGGGGCCAGTGGCTCGGTGGTGAAGGCACTGACTCCCCACATGGCCCAAGGTGTTCAAGTCCTGGACCTGGTGGCTTGCTTTCTCAATTTCCCTCTTTCTCACTCTGTCCCTTTCTGGTCAAATTATTTACTTACTTACTTTACTTATTTATTTATCATAAATAAAGAGTCTTGTCAAACAATTTATGTATGTACATATGTAAAGATTCTTTAAAAAAAAAAAAAAATGACCTCTGCAGTCTTCGGGACCAGCGAATGGTGGAATATGTTACATGGTTGGACTTCCACGGAGTCAACTGCAGTTTGAGTCCTGAACCTGGCAGCTTAATGCTCACGCCAGGGGAATGTGTGTATGTGCTCAGGATCCTGAGGAGAAAGGAGGAGAAGGGATTGTGGTGTGGTCATTCCCCTGGTGGGGGAAATGTTTTCTGTCTCTGTCTCTGTCTCTCTCCTCTCCAGTGAGGCATATGCTCCCTATAGCAAAAATCTCTAAGAAAAATTTTCAAAAAAAATTTAAAAGCAAAAAAATGTTTCTTCATACCCCTCCCCCATACAGTGACCATGGCCCAAATAAGCACTATTCTCTTCTCCATCCCTATATTTTTACATTTTCCAGGTCATGTGTTTTGTATGAAGTCCTACAGTATGTAGTCTTTTTAGTCTATCTTCTTTCACTTGAAATAATGCATTTGTGATTCATTCTTTTAAGAAAATCTTTTAACACTTGGATTTTAGTAACTGGAGCAATACTTTCCTCTTTCATATTGCATTATTTTCTTATTTTTTAGAGAGAGGTTTTGCTATAAGGTGTGTGTACTTACCAGAGAGAAAGAAAGCAAGAAATCACCCCCCAGGGGGAATGGCCACACATTCAATCACAATATAATCCCTTCTCCATTCTCCTCTTGGGATCTTGGGCACCCACGCATATGCACCCAGGGTGAATTTTAAACCAACGGGTCTGGAACTCAAGCAGTGGTCAATTCTGTGAAGGACAGCGATGTAACCATTAAGCCATCTGCTGGTCCACATTAATACCTTAACAGTTAATATGGCGATTTATAAAAAATCTTTTCGAAAGATGTCTATGAGAGATGTCTCCAAGGTGAGAATGTAGGAGAAGGGATTATGGAGTGGCCACTCCCCCCTCAGGGGTGACTTCTCACTTTCTGTCCGGTGTCTCCTCTGGTGAGTGCATATCTTGGCCAGTCTTTATAGGGACCAGACAGTGGCACAGCAGGAAAACGCAATGCTCTGTGAAACAGGCCCACACAGTGTGCAGCCCGCTCTGAGTATGCCAGGCACGTGAGGCGGCATGCCCACCCTCTGGGCTGCTGAAGTGGGTCCTGTAGTCAAGCCGCTCTCAGGGTGGCGCTCTCTCTGTCTCTCTCATGGAAAAAACAAATAAACTTCAAAAACAAAAACAAAAACCTTTCTGGTGGGGAAAAGGCTGCCAGCCAGACCTTATAGCAAAGGGACCGCCTGAAGCATGCCTTTGATATGCAGACTCAGCAGCCGGGAGCCAGATCTGCATCTGGCCCAGCACCCCAGGAAGCAACATTCTTCGGCTTTAATCTTCCCAGCTCCAGGTAGCAGGCAACTCTGGACCACCCCTGCAGCGTAGTCTGCCAAAACGTTCCAACTAGCCATGCCTGAACTGTTCCCCCGCCCTGCCTTTTCTGTTGGAAAGGTAATAAAGTCTCTGGCCAGCTTTCCCTTGGGTCCCTCAGAGTATGCCAAGGCTCCTGTCTCAGTGCCCCAGAGCATATAAACTTGTTGTTTTCCCTTCCCTGAGTCTTTCCACAGACTCCTCTAGTGACTGCCACTGACCAAGCGCATTACCACCCAAGTATACATAACAGGGGCCTGCTTTACCCAGACTGACTCCATCTTGTTAGTTAATTTGTTTTCTCCTTCTTTTCAGCTGGATACTCTTTGTTTAAGACCTCTCTTAGGAACTCCAGGGAGACAGATATGTCAAAACTTCTGTTTTGAAGCTTGATTGCACTCCTAGCTAAACCAAACTAAAATTTAACCTGACCTGGCCTTTTGTACATAACCATTAGCCCCCAGTTTCTTGCCCTGGAAAAGCACCCTTAAGCTGGCTGACCAGAAGGTATTTTTACATATCTTTTTTTTTTTTTTTTTTTTT